AACTGCTCGAAAAAACCCGAAAGCTTCAATTGCTCGGTTCTTGCTCGTTTCTCAACCGAATACACTCAAATTTGTTGCAAATCAAAGCTCTTTTCATCAATTTTCCCGATCTATGTAAGTTTTCTTCAAACTCACATCATTTTTTATGAATTTTTGGCATGTTTATTCACGAATTTGCTTTATTTGTCAAGTTTTATGCCATGAAATTGCTTGATTATGTTTATATATTGCCTTGGGAGTAATTTGAGACTTGTTTGACTCAATTTGGTAAAGAAATGAGCAATTTGCCATTGTTGGACTTCCTAAGGTCGTGAAGAACAATGTGGCTTGTTCTTGATGTTTTTGCTAGCAATTCTTGTCCAATTTGTCACAATAATTACTATAGTGTTGCAAGAAATTGTTTGATTGCTTGAAAAATGCCGTTATGCTCAATTTGAATTTGTGCTCTGTTTTAGTACTACGTACTCTGTTTTTTGCGAACATAGTATCATGCGGCTAGGAGAACCTTAGATATTATAGAACCTTTATATATGATGTTTTTGAACAATGTAGTATGGCTAGACAGCGAGGCTCAGGTTCACGGTCCCGAAACACTCGACGGGAGCATGAGCCCGTAGAGGATGACATCACGCCTTCCACTTCGCTTGGTCGACTTCCGGAGTGGGATGAGCAGACCCTGTTCTTCGCCCCTGTCCACCACATTTCTGAGAGGGTGAGATGGGGCATCACCATAGGAGGACGCGGTATTACGGTTCCGGCTGTGATGGTTTGGGCGATTTGTACAAGATGTACATCGCTAGGGATCTTGAGACGAGACTCCTCTGGGAGTCTTGTGGACTGACTACGCTATTCGAGACCTCCGAGGCTATGTTTGCCTCCAGTGGAGGTCACCATGTAGTACGCGCTTTGGTGGAGTTCTTCTAGGACACCACCAACACCTTCCACTTCCCCTAGGGCGAGATGATTGTCACCCCTACGGACTTCAATCTCATAACAGGACTAGAGTTCAGCTCTGTGCCACTGCCGTTCGACAGTGGGATCGACGTCTTTTCTTCGGAGGTGGAGGAGCTGTTAGGGTCGCTCGCTATTCGGGTCCGCGCTGAAGTTGAGACGACTCAGTATATCGCTAGGGGAATTCGCCGCTCGACGCTGGCAGCGGCTCTTGATGACGATGCGACCTCCCGAGAGCAGCGGGTGCGTATCTTTACGCTGATGTTGTTGTCAGGGACATTCTCCCCTGACAAAGGTAGTAGGGTGTTGCTCTACTATCTTCCTGCTGTCCGTGATCTTCACCGGATCGGGACTTATGACTGGGCCAGCTTGGCCTATGCCGACTTTGTTCGTGCGCTGAGGGACTCGTGTCGACACCGGTCCTTTGGGACGAACGTCGCTTTGTCTGCCTTTTGGAAGGTCGTAGAGGTAAACATTATTCCCTATAAAGTTTAGCTCTACACATTTAGCTAGCATTTACTCACAATTTTAAGTCCCTGTAGATTTGGTTCTACGAGTACTTCCCTTCTGCTGCGCCGGCGAGACCATCGCCACGGGGATTTCCAGTGAGCGCCTCTTGGGGCGGCCGCCATGTGGATGTGTCTACTACACACGTCCGGAACTGGATCATTGGGGTACCATTTTTATTGTTTATTTTCCTTTTTACGATGTTTTAGGTATACTCTCGCCTGATTGATGTTCTTTGTAGGGGCCTGAGGTGGTATACCGGCCGTGGGGTGGTTGGATAGTCCCTGGATTAGCCGCACAGTATTCTGCTGAGTGTCTCTATTTCTTGGGGACTTATGGAGCGATCGCGTACTTAGAAGAGAGGGTTTCTAGATAGCATTCCTCTGATTTCTTCGTCGTTCCTACTCCTCCACCACATCATTTGTTCGATGACGCGCGGTTATCCAGCATGTTTGAGGGAGTTGGTACCCCTTGGCGGTCCTATGTGATCCTCGGGCGGTGCTATGATGAGGAGTTACTACCTTTGTTGGCTCCAGCCCCCGTACCGGCTGAGGATGTGAGGGTAAGATTTTTTCTTCTTTTACTTTCCATTAAACAACCCCCAAGTAAATGATTTACTGACTTTTTCTTTATCAGGACGGTGCTTCTGAGTTCGTGCCACCTCGTATGTCCATCCTTTACCAGGGGATGTATGGGCCGATTGAGGAGATGATTCCTCCGGCTCCCGAGGGCGAGCGCTTTGTAGAGCGGTCGATTCCTCGCCACCAGACTCGAGTAAGCCTAGATATTCACAATTTTGTGTTCATACATCATGCATATTTACTAACTTATTTTTCTGACAGTTTTCATGCGAGGTGGTTTCGGCGATGGCACGATGTATAGATGCCTTCCGGAGCCAGCTCGTCCGGATGAGGAATGCGGCCACTTGCCGTCGGGATGACGTCATCCGAGAGGTAGCTTTTCTTTATATATATTTTTTTGCGTTACCACTTCAATTTTGCCTTGTTTCTGATTTAATTCTTTTTGCAGGGCCAGCCTATTGCTTCTCACACTCGCACGAGACCTGAGGGGCGGTGGGATCCGGCGAGGTCTAGCTCGAGACGTCGTCGTACTTCATCAGGGGGTAGAGGTGGTCGCTCTGAGGCTGCTCGTGCTGACGTTGCAGAGGGCTCGAGATCTTCTTCTGAGGGTGCTCATGCTGCACCGGTAGGAGAGGCTACCTCGGCTTTCAGAGGTGGTGGGATGTACGAGGTAGGTTTGTCATCGCAGCAGCCTCCGCAGCCTCATCCTTAGGTTGATCCTGGGTGGAGTGGACCTACATTGAGTCTTCCTCCTCCTACAAAGACTGGAGTTGGAGCTGGAGCTGGAGCTGGTGGAGAGGTGACTCCTCGTACGGCGCAATTTTATGATATGATGGGCATACGTCCTCCGGCGCCGTAGTTTGTTCCTGTGTATATTTTATTTTGACTTTTCATAGAACTTTGCCTTAGACTCACTATTTTTAGACATAATTTGTATATTTATTCTATTATGAGTTTATTTGTTTGTTATTATTATGTGTATGTTAGTGTGTGCAGAGAAGTGTGACAAACAATTTTGCGCAAAAATTCCGTCATTTTTATTATTGATGGAGGGTATCCGACTCTCTCCCCAAAAAAGAAAAAATAAAAAGGGAAAGTCAAACAAAATGTCGGGTGTTTGGAATTTAATTTAAATAAAGTCTAAAAAAGAATAATATAATTATAAATAATAGCTATTTTAATTAATTAAGAAAAAGGAAAAAAAAGATGTTTAGGAAAGATAAACAGAGTCATAAAGTTATTAGCCGACTCGAGTTTAATATTAAAAACGCAAATTAAACACGCGCGTCTGATATGGCAACCTGGCGCCAGCTGGCGCCACAAAATGGCGCGTGGCGCCAAGTGCTACACTTGGCGTGTGTCGCCAAGCGCTGACAGCTGGTGCCAATTATGGGGTTTTGACGCTAATTGACGCTGATGCCGTATTTCATTCTGATTAAAACTTCTCGCAATTCGTGTATAAATAGCCCCCTGCCTAGCTGATTCTTCTCATAATTCCAGCGAATAAATTAATTCTTTGCTTTAGAAAAAATAATAACCATGTCTTTAGTCACCAAAACCTTCACGCAATACACTCATGAATGGTGTCGATCTCTTAATGCTAGAGACAGAAAAGAATTAGATTTATTTCACTTGGGGGGAATTTATGCCATCAAAGGGGTAGATCTTGACTTAGATTTCATACATACCGCTCTAGAATTTTGGAATGTTGATACTCATTGTTTCAGAATAGGGTATGATGAGATTAGCCTTTTGCCAGAGGATTTTGGTGCTATTTTAGGCTTCCCTGCAATAGACCTCGTATTAATCCCTAGAGTAGATGCATACTATTATAAGGATTTTGAGCGCTTCTTTAATTTAAAAGAAAGGGATTTATCAAAAATAGTAGATGGCAACATAGTTAATTTGAAAGAATTTGCACGTCATTATTTTGATAAACCTCTTTCTGAATCTTTTCGTATATATAGAAGAAGGACGTTCCTATTTTGCATGCTTAATCAATTTTTTCTTAGTAGTGGTAAAAATAATGAAGGGCAATCAATTATAACCACTGTACTAGAAAAAATTGAATCAGGGAGAAATCCAATGCCATTGATTGTTGGAGAGACTATGATTAGTCTAGATGAACTGAAAAGGGACCCAAAAGCACCTTTTCGCGGCTCTCCAATTTTATTACAGGTAGAAAATTAATATTTTTAATTACAGAAATCAAAAAATATATTTTTTGTATTGGAATAATAATTTAATTGCATTGTAATTTTTTTTACAGATGTGGCTAATGGAAAGGCTAGGATTAATTAGCCCTCCTGACGATATTGAGAAGTATACTCCCAATTGCTACGTGAGGAGAAAGAAACGCTTCCCTAAGATTGGGCACCATGGGTGGAGAAAATTCTTCGAATCACGTGATTTTGCTATCAAGTGGGTCGTCCCATGGTGCACTAGTACAAAAACATTCATTTGCGTCGCTCATTTAGGGTGTATTTGCGTCGCTTCTATGAGCGACGCAACTGCTCGCGACGCAAATGACTTTTGAGTCATTTGCGTCGCTCCTACGAATGACGCAAATGACTTAACTATTGTTATAATATAGAGTTATTTGCGTCATTCGTTTGTTACAGGAGTGACACAAATGACTTAACTATTGTTATAATATAGAGTTATTTGCGTCACGCGTTTGTTAAAGGAGTGACGCAAATGACTTAACTGATGTATAATATAGAGTTATTTGCGTCACTCCTTTGTTAAACGAGTGATGCAAATGACTCAACTGATGTATAAAATATAGTTATTTGCATCACTTATTTTATAAATGAGTGATGCAAATGATTGGTTGAGGATTTATTCAACCACTGATGCAAATGATTTCTTTTTTTTTTTCAAATCTATTAAAAAACATTATTATACTTTTCCATCAATATATTGTAATTTCATAATGTAAGACAATTAGATTATGATAAGTTAATCAAATCAAGTATATATTTCGACAGATTTTCCTTCGTATTTTGACCTACCCATAAATTTGGGAATGACGTCAATGTATACACTAATATCCTATCAAAAAGTTTACAACTCAAAATGATTGGTATCATTAACCAACACAAGAACAAAGACCAACCCAAAAAATTGTTAACAGAATTACATTCATTTCAAGCCTAAGAACTAAACAAAAAAAGTCTAACAAATAAATGGAGTTAGCTAAGTTAAATTCTAAATTTCAACATTGCTCATAAAATTGTCTGACCAAATATCTTGAACCACATTTATCTCCTCCCCTGTATAAGGTATTGTTCTAAATAAACCTGTTAACACAACACAAAACAAAAAAAATAATCATTTCAAGAGTGTAGCAAATCTAAAATATATTGAATTAGTAATGAAAAATGTGACAACACATACTATAATAAGGTCCTCATTATATTACGATGATGTTGAACTATTTCAAACGTATAGCACATGACATAGTATCCATATCTCACATCCTCCCAATTTTTTTATGTCACTACACGCATCATGGCAACAAAGTAAGTTGACATACTAATACAACTTATTTCAGAAGAGATACAAACTCAAGCATGAAAAATAAGAATACTAATCATTCTCACCATATTTTAAGAAAAAATACATCTTAGTTATGAATTTATTTCACTCCATTGTTTTTATTTATCACTATACATGCAACAAAATATTCACTGTACCTTATTCTTCGAGAACTTCAAGTCATACACTTTCACAATCTCCATTGTTTTTTGAACTATGATGAATTTGTTTGCATGGAGACAAACTCTGTCTTGGAGGCTTAAACTTCTTTTAAAACTTTTGTAAATGATCAAATATTGCCAAGATCCCATTCTAATCAAATTAACTGCTTCAAGAATTATTATCAGTTTCCCCCAACCCCTAGAAAAACAAACAATTATCTCAGGTGATAAATAATGTTGAAACTTAGTCTTATATAAACATGCTAATGTGAAATTTAGGATTTAGGAACTATGTCTCGGCTTTTTCTGCAAATAGTAAGTCATGTAATTATTTTGTGGCAGAAATTATGGCTCTTATTTGTGAGATTGAACTAGCTAGAGAAATGCAATAAGCAGATTATTGATCCAACTGATACCTGATATTATATAACAATCAAACTAGAAAATTCAATGAAATACAAAAAGATTAGAGTTAATATGTATATGTGACTGTGAGAGAGAAACCTTTACCTTCTCCCCTGCAATTTACAAACTACTCAAAAACAAAAAATCTCTCTGCAACAAATTGCCGCTGCACCAAAGCCACACCATCGCCACTAACCACCAACCATCAGCTGCACTTGCACCAAGTATTTCACCACACGAAAATCAATTAACTAATGTAATCAAGCCTATGCTATATGTAAGTACTGTAACCTTATTCTTCAAGAACTTTATGTCATACACTTTCATAACCCAATACATGTATTGAAAAAATATAGCTTTATTACAACATCAAAGAATACATAGAATCTAACGAAAATATATATTTAACTATAAAGCTAGTGAAATCATAAATGTAGTTCAAAATCCACCTTAGAAATGCCACAAGTTGAGTATACTGAAATTTAGATTAGCAAGAGTGTATAATGAAACTCTAGATTGTGGAACCGATATTCGGTAATTAATGAAGAATTAGATTATGCCACTTCAATTGTAATGTTAATTTACCTTTAATATGAGAGAAATAAAGTAAGAAATTAACTATAACATCTCAAATTATAGAACAATTAAACAAGAAAATTCATCGAATAACAATAACATTAGAGTTACTCTGAATATAAGAGAGAAACCTTAACATTATCCCCTGCAATTCACAAACAATTCAACAACAAATTGCCCGCTGCACCAAGCCACACCACCACACTCACTACCGACCACAAGCCACTTGCTACACATGCACCAAGTAATTCACTAATCAAACTTTATATCTAGATACAAACACTCGATTAAACAAGAACAATTGCTCAAAATACCGTGAAATTGTGATAGATTTTTTGAAGTCAAGGTTTACATAAAATGAGAAATTAAAAAGCTCACTCACGAATGAGAAATTATAGAACAAAGCAGAACGAGTGAGAACTCCAACAACTTTTGAACAGCAATTTACCACCGCAGCGGCACCCAAATCTCCACCAATTAATAGTGCTGCCACCGCATAAATCAGCCAATGCCGCCCAACTAACCATCAACAGCAACACCAACAAGCAGCAATCCCATACTAGCCTCGATTTAGGGTATTTCATCTCGAATATCAACGATTTTAATAGTTTGAATTTCGTGGGTGGTTTGGGTCGATTTTTGCTCAAAAATGGGGTGTTTTGCCTCGAATTTGCTAGAAAATGGGGGGTTTTAACTTGGATATTTTGGGGTTTTCAATTAGTGGTTGAATTTGTTGATTTTGGGGTCAAATTTGTTGGTTTGGGTCGAATTTATCAGGGTTTTGCTGTTGAAATCGGTAGGTTTTGCAGTACGAACGACAACAAGGCAACGCTGGGGAATCGGTTGGTTGGAGGGATTTCTTGAGTTTTTGATGTTGAATTTTTGGGGATTTTGCAGTTGAATTTGCTAGGGTTTAATTTTGAAGTTCGAACGGCAACATGGGAGCAAGAGTATTTTATATTGAATGAGAGGAAGCACTGAGTGGGTGGTAGTGGTAATAGTCATTTGCGTCGCTCAATGAAGAAAGAAGTGACGCAATTTACCCACAAAGTTATTTGCGTCACTTATCAATAAATGAGTGACGCAAATAACATTACTATTTGCGTCGTTTCTATTTATGAAAGCGACGCAAATATAAGTAAGCTGAAATATATCATACTTTTGCTTCGCTTTATAGTTAATGTCCGACGCAAATTACTTAGAGTGAAGCTAAAATATATCATTTGCGTCATTTGTTTCTACGAGTGACGCAAATAAGGCGACGCAAATGAGCATTATTCTACTAGTGGTGGAAAATAGAAAAGACGGTTGGTGTTAACAAGCAACCTTTCTGCCGTCTTCCAAGCTTGTCTCGTGTGACTTATTATTACCCCTGCAAGGTAAAAAGACAATACGACATGCTTCAGAATATTCCTTCCGGGGATCTTCGTCCTCCCTATGAGTACCCTATTTCCCAAGAAGTAGACAGATTTGATGCTTACTGGGGTGCTAGACCTTTATGGGAAGTGATTACCCAAAAGGTTTCTCCTTCCTTGCCCAATAATGTAAAGAAGTGGTTGCTGAAGAAACCTTCGAAGGATTCGAATAAAAAGCAGGGTAAAACTGATGTGAAGAGTCGTCTGGGTGACTGGGTGATTCATGCCAAGGAACGCCTAGGTGCAGGAATTGAATTCAAAACACCTGCAATGCCTAGGAAGAAAAATGATACCAAAGATAAAGGGAAAAGGAAAGTTGACACCACGGATAAAAAGGCTTGGGTTGAAAAGAAGCATGGAGTGTTAGCTGAAGGGAAGACTGTCTACTCTAAACTTGAATGTAGGTCCTCTAAAGGGTGCCTACTAGCTAAAGTTATGGATGAGGAGGAGGAAGCAGACAAAAATTGGAAAAGGGCTAGAAAGGAAAAGAAAGATTAGGAGCATTTCTTGTCTTTCAATTTATTAGACTTAGTTTATTTTTTTTTATTTAAAGTTAATTTATTTTAGCTTTATTTAAATTCCATCAATAATGTAATTTTATTTTATTAATGAAATTTCATCTTTTAATTAAATTATTTACTTTAAATTTATTTTATTAAAGCAATGAAAACCGAAAAAATTAATTTTCCAGAAATTCTTCGAGTACGGAAGTCGAAAATTTTCCGAAAAAACACCAAAATTCGCCCAGAATTTATTTTCAAATTGGCGCCACGTATTTGCAATTGGCGCCTATCATTGGAGTCTGTCGCCAGGCGCCAATTTCATCGGCTGGCACTGATGATTGTTGGCTGGTGCCAGGTTCTTCTCTGTTACGCCGATAACTCACCGATCTTCTGTTGAATTTTTAATTATTTCTGGAACGCGGAGATGTCTAAAAATAAAGTGGCCGCACCCGTAAAGGGTTGCCTACGTATCCTTTCTAAAGGAATCAGGCCGAACGTAGCTCTCTTGAGTATCCTACTCAAGTAATTATGGGTAGTATTTCTTAAGTTGGTCAAGATTTGTCATGTTCGAGAATTCATTGCCATCCATATCAGTCAATTTTGCTGCACCTCCTGACAGGATTGTTTTGACAATGTAGGGTCCAGACCAATTAGGTCTAAATTTACCCCTTGGATCTAAAACATTTTTCCTTAGTGCTTTTAACACCAAGTCTCATACTTTGATATTTATTGTCTTGACCTTCTTATTAAAATGCCTAGCCATACGAGTTTGGTAACACTGAGTGTGATGTAGAGCTTCTAGTCGTTTCTCGTCGAGTAGAATCAATTCTTCATAACTTGCCCTAGTCCATTCAACTTCATCGAGTTTACTCTCTAACCCGATGCGTAGAGATGGTATTTCTAATTCGACAGGTTGTACGACATCCATTCCATATACCAAGGAAAATGGCGTATTTCCCGTTGATGTACGGATTGACGTGCGGTAACCCCACAATGCAAAGTGGAGTTTGTCAGGCCAATCTTTATAATTTTTCATCATTTTCTCGATGATAGTCTTCAAATTTTTATTAGCTGCCTCGACTGCTCCATTTGCTTGAGGTCTATAAGAGGAAGAATGATGATGTTGAATGCCGTATTTTTGTAGCAATTCTTTACATTCGGCTTGAAAGTGAGTTCCATTGTCACTTATCATTTCATGTGGGACTCCATATCGACAAATAATATTTCACTCGAGAAAGAGTCCTACATGCTTTGCAGCGATGCGTAGGCATAGAGAAAAGATGGAGGGACATGTTGTAAGTTGGCATAAATTTGGCACTAAAGGCATCTTTTTACATATTGATGGCAATCCCTATTCATTGTAGTCCAATAATATCCTTCTCGCATTATCTTTTGGACTAAAATTTTGCCGTTTATATGAGTGCCACAGATTCCTTCGTGGACTATTCTTATTGCCCTTTGTGCATCCTTATTTCCTACACATAAGAGAGCTCGACCTTTAGGTACCCTTTTATTTAGCTCGTTGTCTATGAGTACATATTGGGAAGCCAAAAGCCTTAGTGCTCGCTTTGCTCTTTTGTCAGCATGAGGAGGGTATTCTCCATTGGTGACATAATTGAGTATGTCCGTGTACCACGGTTCTTCTTCTTCTTCTTCTTCTTCTTCTTCTTCTTCTTCTTCTTCTTCTTCTTCGCCTTGGACTACTTCGTCGTTTTCTATAGCCTGGATGTATGCTGGTTTGTGCCTTTTTTCTATAGTTAGAGGCATTTGCTCGATTTCCGTGGGAATCCTAACCATTGAGGCTAATCTTGCCAAGGCATCAGCAAATTGATTTTCCTCTCTAGGTAGATATGTATATTCTATCTTGTCTAACTGATCGGTAAGAGTTTCCAGATAGGTTTGATAAGGGGCTAGGCTTTCGCTCCTTACTTTCCACCTTTTAGATATCTGATTGATGATCAAAGAAGAGTCTCCGAATATCCTTCAATTTTTTTACTCCCAATGCCAAAGAAGTTTCAAGGCCTACCACGCATGCTTCATATGCAGCATCATTGTTGGTAACGTCGAAATTAAGCTTTATGGAGATTGGAACATGCTCTTCTCTAGGTGATACTACGAACACTCCAACGCCACATCCCTTTTGGTTTGAGGCTCTGTCGAAGTATAAGGTCCAAGTATCATCTTCAGTAACCATTAGGCCTTCATCTGGAAATTCATTGTCTTGCATTGGCGTCGAGTCTTTTATTGGAAAATCTGCTAGAAAGTTTGACACCACGGATCCTTTAATAGCTTTTTGTGGCATAAACCTTACATCAAATTGGGCTATATTTACTATCCATCTCTATATGCGTCCATTGAGTGTAGATTTCTCGAATAGATACTTGAGTGGATCTAATCGGAAGACTATGAAGACAGTATGCACCAACATGTAATGTCTTAACTTAGTTGTGGCCCACACCAAGGCGAGGCACAACTTCTCGAGCGGTGTATAGTGTGCTTCGTATTCGAGCATATTTTTGCTTAGGTAATAGATTGCGTTCTCTTTGCCTTCTACTTCTTGTGCTAGCATAGCTCCCATTGTCTCTTTGGTAACCGTCAAATATAACTTGAGAGGTATTCCGGGAAGTGCTGGTGCTAATACGGGAGGATTTGCGAGATAGGCTTTGATCTTTTCAAAGGCTTTTTGACACTCGTCATACCATATTACTGGTACATTCTTCTTGAGTTTTTTGAAGATCGGTTCACATATCGTCGTAAGTTTTGATATGAACCTACTTATGTATTGTAACCGGCCAATAAATCCTTGAATCTGTTTCTCAGTCTTGGGCGGTGGCATTGACATGATTGCTTTGATCTTGGTTGGGTCTACCTCTATTCCACTAGAGCTTATGATGTAACCCAAGAGCTTGCCTGAGGTGACTCCAAAAGCACACTTAGATGGATTCAACATCATATTGTATTTTCTTAGCCTTTCGAAAAATTTCCTTAAGGCTACTTAATGTCCTGGACGGTATTTTGATTTTACAATCATGTCTTCGACATATACTTCGACTTCTTATGCATCATTTCATGGAGTAAGGCAGTTGCTGCACGTTAGTAAGTAGCACCCGCGTTTTTCAACCCGAATGGCATTACCGTGTAGCAGTAAGTGCCCCATGGTGTTATAAAAGTTGTTTTCTCCATGTCTTCTTCTTCCACGAGAATCTGGTTGTAACCTGTGTACCCATCCATGAATGAGAGAAGCGCGTGATTTGCCGTGTTATCTACCAGAATATCGATGTGTGGCTAAGGGAAGTCGTCTTTTGGACTTTCCTTATTTAGATCTCGATAGTCGACACACATCCTTACCCTTCCGTCTTTCTTCGGAACTGGGACGACGTTGGCGATCCATTCGGGGTATTTGGATACCTTGATGAAACCAGCGGTTATCTGTTTTTGAACTTCTTTATTTATGTAAAGGACTACGTCAGGTTTCATTCGACGCAACTTTTGTTTTACAGGTTTCATTCCTGGAATTAGTGGTATAGTGTGTTGAGCTATTTCTCTATTAATGCCTGGAATATCTTCATATGACCAAGCAAATACATCGATAAATTCTTTAAGTAAGTTAATTAAATCGGTTCTTTCTTGTTAATTCAATGTTAATCCGATTTTAACTTCTATTTTATGAGTTGGATCATTTGAGATATCAACTGTTCCAGTTTCTTCGATTACCGGTGTTTTCCTTTCGAGTGTTTCCATTGCTTTAATAATTTATTTGTCTTTTTCATCGTTAGTTAAGCAATGCTCGTCATCTTAGGTTAGAGAAGAACACGAGAAGTAAGGAAAATGAGAAATATTATTATACTCTGAGATCATTATATCAAAGAGTGATATGTCCTCAGGGACTGGATCACTAACTATCCTAGGGGAAGAAATAGGAGGGGAGGTGTTACAACTAAAGACATAGAAAACTCTAGAGGGAGAGACTTCGACTCAGACTCTGACTCAAACGACTCTTAGAACATCGGTCCTTGCCCTGTCGTGATGGATATCTTCCTTCCGCTTGGAGTAGTCACCTTGATAGTCTTGCGCCACCCTTGTAGTGATCCTTCAGCTGGAGTAATTAGCTTCGAGGGATCGAAGCTTTCACTTTGTACGACTATTTGAATGAGCAAGGAGT